AGAATTAAAATAGCAGTTTAATGCTGCTGTGTTTCGTATGGTGAGTGTAGAGAACCAGAGACCATTTTTACTGGAAAAAAGGCATTCTATCTTAGCCCTCACGGCTGACAACGCATCTGCATTTTGATTCGCAAACGAGGATAGATGTAGACGTATTGAGTTATATACTACGTACTATAGAAGCCATTCCAAACAAAAATTGTATCCTACTCTATGTCTTCGCGATGCGCGGGAGTAGTAGTCGCGCATGCGCGAAGACTTTAATTTGATATAAAATAAGATATAAATATCCTAATTAAATCTAAAGAAAACATATTTCTAAATAAAATGTAATAATAATTATTTTATGGAATTCACCAATCTTTAATTTACGCAATATTTAGTTTGTATGGATTGCAGTACAGTTCAGTTGAACATAGTTAATGTTCGGAATGGCTTCTCTAGTACGTAGTACATATAACTCAATGTGTAGACGTCTATGGGCCGCAGCAACCACTTACTATCAGATCAAAACGTTCTATTAAAAGAAATCTTATTCGTATATAGGGATAATTCCTATAATTTGGGAATAATATCCAATGCTATAGATTTACCGTTACACGACGCTGGGTCATCGCACGATTTTAGTCCGTGACGTCACAGGTCATTGATTGAAATTTTATAGTGAGAAATCGAGTCTAGTTTCTGTAATGTTAATGCTGTTAGTCGATGCGGCTCTTACAGCTTCATTGAACTCAGAGCTATAAAAAAGAGAGGGAGCGGGGGGGGGGGGGGGGGGGCAGATTATTTATTTTCGAAAAAATCGATAATCTCGAGGGAGTTGGATAACATTGTGTTCAGTGATCACATCATCATCACATCAACATCAAATATTCCTTAATGTCGCCGAAAACCGCAACATGACATGGGTGAGTTGTCTAACCGCAGTCCGAACAAGGCAGCGGACCTTATTAGACACAAAGTGCTATGACGGATAAATTATTGGCCGATTACGATTTGCCTAATTCTAACGGACTACGACACAAACAAAGTTATGAAGATATATTAAATTTAAAATTAATCAAATCAATCGTTGTGAAGAGACTGTAAAGTATTCAAGTAGGTGTACTTTGTTTACTTGCCTTACTGTTACAAATTAGTAGACGTCCTCAATTTAACACCGATAAGGTAATCGCAAACTACCCGCCGTTTCGTTGTTTGACCCAGTTTATTTTAAAAAGGCAGGTCGTGTGAGTTGCGTGTGCCGTTGTAAATAACGCAAGAGCAAATACTCGTAAAGCCCTATACATGTATGCCCTGTTTTAAACAGGCTGTTGTAAATTCATTTCATTGCATTCCAGTATGAAGGTTTTTGTAGCAAGTTTAGAATTAATTTTCAAATTTAGAATATTTTTGTTTTTATTATACCTAGTGGTCATTGTAAATCTATAGAAAATGCGGACCCTATATTATGTTATTGTATGTTTTGAACTAGAGCAAGATCCCAGGGCCACCAGACGTCACTTATTTTGTGACGAACGAAATGTGTAAGATTGAGTAGTGTTAGTATGTACTATGATCGCATGCCTACCTGCTAGTTTAGTCAGTGGTTGGCCCAATGGCCAAGCGGGCAGATATCAGGTAATCAAGGTACGTAAAACATTGCTCACCTCACGTTAAATCTCCCAGCTGATTTTTAGATATATGTTTTTTTTTATAGGATAGTGTGCTCCATAGACATCTACATCTATCTTCGAAAAAGAATGAAAATGCAGGTGTGTTGTCACCCGTGGAATGCCTCTTTTCCAGTAAAAACAGTGGTAGAGCCACGCGGCAGCTTTTGCTGTCGCACGGATGGGCCGGCTCGAACCGGGGTGGTACCACGACCTCACAGAATACCAGCGTGAAGTAGAGGTTTACCTCTGCGTTTCGCTTGCTTGGTGAGTGCAGGTGGCCGGAGGCCCTTTTTACTGGAAATGAGGCATTCCATCTTAGTCCTCACGGGTGACAACGCATCTGCATTTTGATTAGCAAACGAGGATAGATGTAGATGTCTATGGGCCGCAGCAACCACTTACCATCAGGTGAACTGTGTGCTCGTTTGTCACCCTTATCCTATAAAAAAAAAAAAAAAAAAAAAAAAAAAGGGTCTCCGGTTCTCTACACTCACCATACGATACACAGCAGTGTTAAGTTGCTATTTTACGCTGGTATTCTGTGAGAGCGTGCTCCTTCTCCGGTCAAGCCGCCCCATTCGTGCTACAACTGTACTACTAATATAGCTGCAGCATAGCTCTACCCCGTATAAATAGGGGATGATTGACCCCTTGAAACGGTCTGCCTTCTTGTAAAACGTAAATAGTATTCTGGCTAACATATATAAAATGGAGCTTCTGAATGTGAGTCAAATTGAGTAATTTTTTGAGAGCTTTAAAGCGTCTGCAAAACGACACAGCCGACGGAAAGTGTCTGGGAGTATTGATGACTGGTTTTTAACGATATTATCTAACAAAAAAAAGTAAGTAAAAATTAGCTGGGAGAATAAACGCGAGGTGAGCAATATTTTTACGTACCCTGATTACCTGATACCTGGAAAATGGTCAAGCTAGCAGGTAGGCATACGATCATGGTACATACTAACACTACTCAATCTTACACATTTCGTTCGCCAGAAAATAAGTGATGTCTGGTGGCCCTGGAATCTCAGACTAACAGGCTCTTGTAAATAGGGAGTCGAATATCGTGTGGAGTTCCTATATAATAGAGCCACCAGCTCTTGCTTTTTTTATGACTGCAGAACGAATAAGTCAGCTCGAGTGGGGTACGCTCTCACAGGGTACCAGCGTAAAATAGCCTAACCCTGCTGTGTTTCGTATGTTGAGTGTAGAGAACCGGAGAACCTTTTAACGGTAACTAGGCGTTCCATCTTAGTCCTCAGGGGTGACAAGCGACATCGCATCTACATTTTGATTTTTAATCGAGGATACATAGAGGCTACAGTTTTACTTATCATCAGGTGGACTATGTGCTCGCTCCCTTATCACAACATATTAAAATCAACAGCTGTCCGTTAGTCTCGCCAATACTCGAAAATGGCTGGATCGCTTTGATGAATTTTTTGTCTGTGTTTGAATGGGTCCCGGAATGGTTTAAATTCACAATTGTACCCGGTAGATGGCGCTGTTGTCAAGACTCAAAAATCACCCGTGTGAAGTCGGGGCGGATCGCTAGGTTTCTGGCTAGTTTGAAGTGCAGCTAAGTGAAGTTTTTGCACCGCACGCCAAAATAGTTCAGAGATAACAGATTTTTTCCGACTTACTTAATATTTATCGTTATATTTCGACCAATTTTCATAATATCTTTATTAATTATAGCGTATGTGTTGTTCTGATGTATGAGATATATTATTGTAAATTTTCATTACAATACATTCAGTAGTTTTTGCGTGGAAGACTAACACACATCAATATATCCATACATTCTCACAAAAATTTAATTCAATTGAAAGAGAGCACCTTATTTTCTTATACACGCTGTATTGATATTCATCCTTTATAGAAGGTAAATGCTAGAAGAGTTAGGTATCGTAAGAGAAATTTTTCATTAGACTATAAAGCCATTGCTGGATATCGGCCTCCACCTTTGTAGGGAGAATCTGCCATATTCACCACGCTTTGAGAAGGAATAGTAATGGCAGTACCAGATGTTTTGCACTCTTGACGCTGCTCCTCGTGAGTATTTGATGTATACATCTGGCGTAGATAGGGCCATATTAGACATTCTACAGGTAGATACAGTTAATAATAATTTTATAGATGATAATAATAATTTTATTGTAAAATGAGATCAATTAATAATTCTGTAATTAATGTAATATGTCAATTTTCCAGGTAAGCCATGCCTCACCAGGTAAACATGTTGTGAACTGATTTAAATGTATGTATTAATAATGATGTACATCTGCCAAGTTTATGCGAATAAATTATTTATATTTAATTATTAATAAATTATTATTACTTTTAATTATCTAAGTGTACTTAATATACAAAATTTAAAATAAACGATTTTTTGACTTGATACTCCACACACTACTGAAAAAGGGAACATTAATTTAAAGTCACACAAAATAGTTATTTTGTGGCAACATTTTAAAATTCTTTGGCGACAATCTCTACTCTGTGCGACTATGTGACCACAGACGATTAAGTGTTTGACATTAGCCTTAGAGTAATGACATACATAATATTATGCTTGTACTTACTCTGAGACATTGGCAGTTTAAACGTATTTTCTGCCGACTTCCAAAAAGGAGACGGTACTCAATTCGACTGTATTTTTTTTTATGTGTGTTACACAGGACACATCAATATTGTTTTCTGCCGACTTCCAAGAAGGAGACGGTACTGTTTGTTCGACTGTATGTTTTTTTATGTGTGTTACCTCGTAACTTTTTACTGGGTGAACCGATTTTGATGATTCTTTTTTTATATGAAAGCTGATAGTTCTCGTGTGGTCCCATTTAATCAAGGTCAGACCAATAGTTTTTGAATTATTCTTAAAGAAATTATATTGAAGTCGGCTGTACAAAATTTTAAATTATAAATTAGTGAAACTATTAGAAGTGCATATTACGATTATTTTTAATGTTTCGAATTATTTTTTCTCCTTGGACAGTTGTGCCTGTTATTTAACAGTTTCATTTTATTATTTAATTTATATTTTTAATTAAAACGAAATTACTATCCAAATATTAGTTCTTTCTTAAATTTTATCATAGGTTTATTTATAATAAAATTTCATATTTTAGAAGAATAGAAAATATTTATTTCACAAGGGTTGTCTAACGTGCATGCATGGTCTAGAAAAATCATACTTTTCAGTTTATGTTTTAAATGTAACAATATACTTATTATGTTTTTTTTTTAATGTAACGAATATGATGAACTGACGTATGTTGGTATCCTTTTAGTGAAATGTCTAATGCCACCGATTATGAATGAGTGTGTGAAAAAAAAACTTACGTTTTTCCGGACCCTGCGCCAAAGTAAGCCCGAACAGAGCGAGTACACATAGTCCCCACCCTCCCATCGTGTAACGTCACACCAACCCTTCAGCACAAACCTCCAAGCGCCCTCACGGCTACAACAAAAATATAGAATTAAACATAATGTCTGTATGTTACTGTGCAGATAGTGATAAGATAATTTATCTTCTTACAGTGATTAATTAAGACTGATAGGAAAAATACCTTGCAGTCACGAGATGAGAGGCCGTGGTGGGGGAAGGAGTAGCTCGTGCGTGCGTATCTTCAAGCCTAATTTCAAGTCGAACGTTAACCTTTTCGGAAGCTTAATACAATTACTTGTAAAAATGTGTAATTATCCTAATACATATTTTTTAAATACCCACCCAAGTCTTAGTAATAATAATTATTAGTTTTTTTCATTTTTAATAATATAATAGAATTTTATGTTGGTATTACAATCTCTGCGCAACCTTGAGCTTCCTCGTACGACTAGTAGTGAAAGACCACGTTTCAGATCCATCACGCATCACGCACTGATTGTACAATTTTATTTTGAGATATACATGGACGAATTGAATTGACATCTCTGTCGAAGTTGGACTTACCTAGACGGACAATTTGTTCTAGGTATACATATTATATACTCGTCAATAACTTTGAATATAGTGTTCCAACAACTATCGGCATAGGTGTGACATGGGCAATACACATGACCTTTGTCTTGTCCATGTGATCAACTGCCAACACTTTGCAAAATATTCTCTCCAGAAGAATTTTTCAGATACATTTTTACAGATTTAGTTAAGGAAGAAAGATTTTTGACTCTTCTGGTTAGCCCAACTCTAGGAATATTAACGGATAGTGCCGTTGGGGTATATAGATATTTCGAAGTATAGTAGTTTGTTGAATAGTATATGATGTTGATGAAATAATGTATAGGTATTAAAGGAATATATCTATATAGCGAAATTTAACGACAAAGACAGCTTAAAGCTTAAAGTTAAACCGTGATCTAAAAACGTAGTGTCATTAAAAATTTGCTTGAAATTTTTAAATTTAAAGGAAGCTGTCATGGACAAATGACTTTTTGGATCAAGGTTTAGATCAAACGAATCTACAATCACATTTTTGAGTATTTTATCTACCGACTTTAAAAAGCAGATGGTACTCAATTCGACTGTATGTTTTTTATGTGTGTTACCTCACAACTTTTTACTGGGTGAACCGATTTCGAAGTTTCTTTTTTTTATTTGAAAGCTGGTGCTTCACATGTGGTCCCATATAAATTTTATCAAGTTCTGACCAATAGTTTTTGAGTTATTCTTAATAATTTATATTGAAGTTGGTTGTACAAAATTTTTAATTTTAAATTATTTAGTCTCTTGTTTCTTAAATTTTCGACTAGCTGTTCCCCGCGACTTCGCCCACGTTCAATTTAGGGTTTTAATTTTTTTTTGCACGGAACCCTAATTCTTTTTCTAAAATAAAAGTAGCCTAAGTTACTCATTATAACATCAGCTATCTGCCAGTGAAAGTCCCGTCAAAATCGGCTCAGCCACTTCTGAGATTAGCCGGAACAAACAGACAGACAGACGGAGAGACAACAATTTTAAAAATTGTGTTTTTGTTTTAAGTACCGTATACACTTTCATATGTACTTCGTAAAAAGCTGTTTTTGATATTACAAACAGACACTTCAATTTTATTTATTTAATACAATAATAATAATTATTATCTATACAAATCTATACATATAATAAAACTGTAAATAGCAGATGTCTGTACATTTTTTATTTTTGTAATAAAAGTGATTGAGGGGTACTAAAAATAAGTAATTAAATACATTTCCATCATTTTTAGAATTTTCTGTCTGTCTGTCTGTCTGTCTGTTTGTTTGTTAACGTATCACGTATAAAGTACTAATTTATATCATAAGAATTGTTAAGGAAATTATAAAGTGTATCTTCGGGTTACATTTAGTCTTTATTTCATTAAAATCAGTTCATTCCATCAAAAGTTATGATAAATATTCTGAAGTATGGGTAGGGAAGTATAGGTACGAATTTGCTCAACGGTGGCTTTGTTTGAGTCATCAAGTGCATTTTAAACTAATATCATATCATAAATCATAGTTAAATTATGTAAAATAATGATATAATTATGTATATCTAAAACGCAGTAAACAAAAGTAATAAAGAACGTATTAAATATATTATACAAAAATATATTAACCTTATTAACTAAATCTGAAGCACAATAGTTAACCCATTTCTTCGATAGATGGTGGTGTTGTGAAAATGTATTTTTTATTTAATCTTTGTTTTATTAAAATTGGTTCATTCTATCGAAAGTAATGATTATTATTTTGAAATGTAGGTTCGAATTTGTTCAATGGCGCCATAAAATCTCAGAAATAGTAATAAAAAGATTTCTGTGTAAAAAAAACGTTATAATTAATATATTTATACTTAAAACACAAAAAGAGATAGGATGTTTTCTCACACAAAGGACGTAATAGATGGAGTTGTACAAATTACAAACTTTTCTGAATTGCTGTGTTGAGATTTTTCGCCGATGAATCGTATTAGACTTACTGAAGAAATTTGTATCCATCGAAGCCATACAACGGAACCCGACCAAAAATAAAAATTTTGCAACGAAATGTCGTGATATTGTATTTATAATATACGCAAAATCAGAACTGCCATTTTAGCGCTTTGGGAACTAGATTTAGCACTTTTTTGGAATGTATAGCGCGCATTTCGAAATTTTAGCACCTAGCGCTTAATCCAGCGCTTTTTGGTGTATTTAGCACACATTTCAATATTTTAGCGACTAGCGGGTTATTAACTCTTTTATAGCAGCACTGTTAGTCCACATTACCGATAATAATAATAATGACCTTTATTATTTTTTCCCACAAATAGTACATTGCAGTTTATCTTTTTCAAACATATTTTTTCCACAAAACAAAGAACATGGGAGACGAGTCCAAACTAGGATACCCTGTGCTATGGATCTCCTGGCTTCCGCTTTAGGATGATCAACTTGATTTTTTTACCGACGACTATAAGCGGGGAAATCCCCTTTATTAAAGTTTTCGTTCATGGTTTTGGCAACGCATTTATTTTGCTTTATTCAGTTTTAGTCAGTTGCTTAGAGCTCAGCTAAGTTAAAAGTTACTTAGAAGTTAAAACACAAAGAAACTGTGTAGCAACCGCAATCAGATGCTGACATCTGAAACTAAGTTGCGAAATACATTGCACTTTAAAACAATTAATGACATTTTTATTGTTCGTACAGTACTAACTACTGTTGACAGCAATTGCTATAATTATAAGTCGATGTCCTGCGAAGTATTGATATATCAAAAAAATATTGCCAGAAAAAAAACTTAATGTTGTTTTCTTTATTATGATTATATAAACACAAACTTTGTTTGTAGTTAATTTAGCGCGAAATCTAGGGCTTTTTAAAGCGCTGTTTTCATGAAATCTAGCGCTTTTTGTGTTGTCCTAGATCTGAATGAGTTTTTTCTTATCTGGCAGCACTGCCCAAAAACCCTCTATTAAGAAGTAACTTTCCTTTCAGTTTTAAACGCGTTCAGTTCCCAGTTACAGTGAGTGTGTGTTATGCGATGACCGTAAATAAAGCGCAAGGTCAAACTTTACGCGTTGTAGGATTGTACCTCAGTACTGACTGTTTTGCACATGGCCAACTCTATGTTGCTTTTTCCCGCGTTAGTAGCCCCCGTAACCTTTTTGTGTATACCCCGGCTAAGCCTACTTCTAACGTCGTTTACACAGAAGCTCTATCATAAAGGACTTAGAACTTTGATGATAATGATTTATTTTGTTACCACTTATTGATGAGTAATGAAATAAATCGTTTAATATTCTCTTACCTAAACGACAAATTCTTTATGTAAAACCTGTATACGCGAGCTACGCCGCGGGCACAGCTAGTTAATAAATAAAATTGAAATGTCTGTTTGTAATGTCAAAATTACAGTTTTTTACTAAATGCATATGAAAGTAAATACGGTACTTACAACTAAAATACAATTTTGAAAATTTTTGTCTGTCTGTCTGTCTGTTTATTCCGGCTAATCTCCGAAACGGCTGAACCGATTTTGACGGGACTTTCACTGGTATATAGCTGATTTCATAAGGAGTAACTTAAGCTACTTTTATTTTAGAAAAAGAATTAGGGTTCCGCGCATAAACTTAAAAACCCTAACACGCGGGCGAAGTCGCGGGGAACAGCTAGTTATTAATATACAATCATCTATATGTAGGCCAACTAACTAGCTAGGTCAACGAGACAGTCAACTCAAAGCTGACTGCCTCGCTACTTTGGTAATCGTAAACGCGGTTTCTAAATTTCTGTGAAGAAATTCTCAGTAGCAACCCGGAGTCAGGAACTTGGCGGTGTTTCACCTCCGTGCCTCGGAAACCTCTTAAAATTGTGGTTTTGCCCCTGATCTACGACCGGAGAGGTCGTGTTAGATTGCCGGCCCATCGGTCTATGAAAGTGTAGTAATAGAGAGTTATCTGTGCTTGCGTATACACTCTTCGTTGAGACTGATACCGATGTGACCGAAATTCGGCATAGAGGACAATATATTTATATTTTCGATATTTGAATGATTTTAATATTAGTAAAATAAACTGGCTGTGTATAAAATACATTTTTTTTTCTAGGATAAGGATGATCACAGTCCACCTGATGGTAAGTGCTTACTGTGGTCCATAGACGTCTACATCTATCCCCGTTTGCGAATTAAAATGCAGATGCGTTGTCAGCCGTGAGGACTAAGATGAAATGCCTCTTTTTCAGTAAAAAGGTCTCCGGTTCTCTACCCTCACCATACGAAACACAGCAGCATTAAGCTGCGATTTTACGCTGGTATTATCTGAGAGCGTGGCCCTTCCCCGGTCGAGCTGACCCATTCGTGCTACACTACAACTATACAATTAATATAGCTGCAGTATGGCTCTGCCACGTATAAAATATTTGACAGCCCATTGTCAAATCTAAGTATACTGTAAGTTATCTGCTC